GGGTCTTTTAAAATACTCTTTGGGTTTCCATTTCCTTTGTTGTCGCTCTTTACTTCCTCGTGACTGATTCTTATAGAGATACTTTAAACGATGTGTGTGGCCTGTGCTGATGTGTATGACAGAGAAGGGTCACACCCTTGTCCCCCATGTCCCCTCGTTGACACTCGTCAGTTACCCTGGAGAGAAAACCCCTTCTCATGACTTCTTAGACTGTTGTTTACCTACTTATTTTCCTGATGATAGAAATATGTATCTTCATGGGCATGGTGGTACACATCTATAATCTCAGCTGCTTGGGGGGTGGAGATCAGGAGGACTGTAGTCTGAGGCCAGCCTGGGCAAAAACATGAAACCCTTTTAGGAAAATACTGACAGTAAAAAGTGCTGTTGGAGTGGCTCAAGTGGCAGAGCACCTGCCTAGCAAGTGCAAGGCCCTGAGTTCAAATCTCAATATCACCCAAAAAACCACCAGAAAACAAATAAATGAATATTTTCGTATTATGCATTATAGTACAAAGAAAAGAGTAACCACGTGTAGCCCCACCATCTTGAGATAGCCATGTTAATTTGTGATCTTAGTCTGAACCTTTGTTTACTTGGACAATAAAGTTTTTCTTACCAAGAAGGTAACATAGATCTTCGATGTTAGTTTCCCATGGCTGCCATAACAAACTCCCCCAAGCCAGGTGGCTTTATCCAGCACATGGACCCTATCACAGTTCTGATGGTCATAAGTCTAGAGAGGGTCTGGCAGGACAGGTCCCTGCATGGTCCCTGGCTGTGCCTTCTGCCCTGACCTAAAGGACTCCTTTCCCCTCTTATAAGGACACCCATCAGCTTGGATAAGCACCCACTCTGCTGCAGGACAGACTTCTTAATTTACATCTTAACGACACCTACCATTACCCCATTTCTAAGAAAGATTGCAGGCGATGGCACGGGCTAGGGCTTTGGTGAGTCTTTCTAAGGGATAACCCACAGCATGTGGTGACAGAACCATGCTTGAGCAGTCTGGAGGGTGATGCTGTCCACACAGAGACGGAGGGGCCCTGGCCATACACGCAGGACATCCAAGCCCCATCAGCACCCCGAATTCTCATTCAGCATATTGTGAAGGTCATTCTCTTACTTCTGCAAATTCATCTCATGCTTTTTCTTACAGCCGTTTTATACTCTGTTATATGAACAGTCATAAATTTTAAACCAGATTCCTACTGGCAGGTATTTCGGTTGTTCCCCGACTTTGTTGTTACAAAAAAAATACCGCTGTACCCGTCCTGGGAAGCGATCCATGACTTGTGGTGGGCTGAGCTACAGGATGGAGCTCTCCTAGTGGAACAGACGGGTGGGAGGTTGTGCCCATTTACAAGTGAGTGGCACGGTGGCACCTGCCTGAAATCCCAGCACTCGGGGGATGGGGACAGGAGGATCACAGGTTTGAGGCCAGCCTGGTATACATAGTGGGACCTTGTTTCCAAAATCAACAAAACTGAGGAGCTGCTGTTGAAGTTCTGTCCAGAGGCTGACAATCTTCATGCCCATCATCATGGAAGCAAGTGTGTGACAAGTACCCAGCAAACAACAAAACCAGCCATTTGTTAACTGTAGCAGTTTAACATTTTCTGTCAGGTTCTTTGTTTTTTGTACATTATTTATTGATTTAATGGTGCTGGGGATGGAACCCGGACCTTGCACGTGGAAGGTACGTGCTTTGCCACTGAGCTGCACACCAGCCCTCGACTTTTTGGAATTGTGTCTCTCTCTGTACCCCAGGCTGGCCTCAAATTCACAATCCTCCTGCCTCCACCTCCCAAGTGCTGGGGTTATAGGTGAGCACCACCATGCCTGGATTGTGTCTTCAATTTATACCTTTTTTTTTTTTTTGGTGGTTCTGGGGTTTGAACTCAGGGCTGCACACTTGGTAGGGCAGGTGTTCTATCACTTGAGCCAACCCTCCAGCTGTCTTCATTTTAAAAGCTCCCCTCCCCCTGGTCTCCTGAGCTACTCCCATAACAGCATCCAACTTTGGAGAACCCGTCCTCCAGGCTTTCCACAACCAACAAGTTGCAGCCCTGGATGCCCACAAGTGACCTTCCGGCTTTTTCAAGGTCAGAGTCCATATCGATTGTAGTGTTCATGAATTCCTTAGCCATTTCCCATGTGTGAAAAGGCACCGCCATTTTTACCAGGTTCTTCCTTTTCCTAGTGTGTCACTGATGGAGGTTTTGAACCCTGTGCTCCCCCTACTTTTCTCACAACCATGGGGTTTTTTGTGGGCTGCTCTGCAGTGTGGTAAATTTTAGGAACTCACATCACAAGGCATCAGAATGGCTTTTACAGCAAATGGAAATATGAAACAAATCGACAGAAATACATTTATTATGGTATAGTTATGACAAACGAGAGCTGATGACTCTTCCTAATTTAATGACAACTTGGGTTAGATTTCAAAAGCTCTATAATACAGTTTGTGAGAGATACACTCGAAAGACACGAAAAATGTAAACATTGAAAATAAAATGGAGAAAACTTGCCTGACAAATAAGAACCTAAATGATGAGGTTTTTTTTTTTTTTTTTTTTTTTAATCTTTGTAGCTTTCAGCATGCAAATCCTAAACAGATTTAGCTAAAGCTTCATACCTAAGTATGACTTCTGGTGCTATTTTAAATGGTGCTGTTTTTAAATGTGCTTTGTACGTGTGCCTTGGAGGTGTATGGAAATGCAATTGCTTTGCATGGATCTCCATGGCAGCTACAGCCAGTGTGGTGTAATGGTGACTCCTAAATGCAGGTCAGGACCGCTGAGTCCTCACAATGTCCTGCAAAATCCCCCTCCATGGCTGCCCTGGGATAACAGGGACAGCCCTGCTGCCAGGCCCAGCCAGGACCTGTAAGGCCAGGGCAGCCACATGGCCCCACCCGCTGTCCCCCACCCGCAGCCCTGGACTGACACCCAGACCCACTGGGGAGCCAAGGCCAGCAAGTCTGCCCAGGATTCCTGGGGGTGGAGGTGTGCAAAGGCAGACTGAGCCGTGCAACCTGACAGGCAGCAAGCACCCCCCACCTGCGGCCTCACATGGCTGGGACACCCTTGCTTGGCACTTCCAGGACACTGAAGGAACACAGTCCCTATAAATGGGGTTGCCAGGTGATTCTGAGTGTCCCTCTACCCGTCCCCAGTGACTACGACATCATTCATTCAGTCAGTCAGTACTTTTCCTATTTATTGAGGCCTGACATCTGCCAGGAGCTCAGTCAGACCCCTGGACTCCAGAGGTGCCCTGCTCACCTCCACACAGAGGCCGACAGAGATGGTGATGGGCTGAGTGGGGTCTGGTGGGACGGGAGAGGTCGACTGATGGCCGAACCTCAGTGAGTGGGTCTCTTCCTCCAAAACAGATCTGTGTCAGAGAGCCCAGCAAGGAAAAGAACTGCCAATTGCAGCCAGAGAACATGGGATGTCACCTTAGTTGCAGATCTACTGCAAAGCCCCTCTTGCTGTGATCAAATGAAGGACACTACTCAGCTGGACACACTTATCTCCAAGCTCCCACCATGGAGATCCCCTGTATCAGCTGACAGCTGCCCCAACCTACTGCTGGCCCCTGAGTCTATCTAGAACTGTCTGGCTGCAGAGTCCTTCCCTGAGACGCAGAGAGGGAACCCCCAGGTGACAGGTGCCTGCTTGGCCTGCTCCCAGGTAAGGAGAGACACTTCCATGCTGCTCATTCTAAGCAGAGATTCTGCCCCCTTCTGAATGGTCAGGTCTTAACTCTCTTAAAAATACAGCAGGTGGTCCAGAAGAGCAAGGCTTCACTGGGAGAAGCCTTTGTCCAGGAGGAGCCCAATAGCTCCTTCCTGGTTGGGTCCCTCTGGGACCCATGCATCTGGGAAATGTGGCTCCCTTCAAGCTCCTGAAGCCACCAGGAAGAGAAGAAGGTGCCAGGGAGCCTTGGGCCGAGGGGCAGGACGTAAGCATCTGTACACTCATGATAATCTACTGCTGTGTAAAGCAGAAGTGTTTCCCACAAACCCGTAGCCCAGGCCCACTCACCTCCCTTCCCTGGAGAAGGACTGTGGCAGACACCTTGTTTGGGGCACCTGGACCCTCACCAGGCCAGAACCGACAGGCAGCAGAACTGGCTTCCTTCATGTGGAATGGCAGCCTGCGGGTGGTGCCTCTGGATCTCCTGGAGATGGGACTCTCAGCACAGCTGCCTGGCTCAGTTTTGCTCCCACAAAGAACAAAGACCCTCCCCCATGATCACCAAAATGCCTTGTGCCTAAGACCAGAGTGCCCTGTGACATGCACTGTGGGACTTTGCAGTCACTGCCTCCCCAGGTCTCCAGGCAGGAAGGGGACAGAACAGAGGCCAAGCCCAAGTCTGACCCCATGTCTGTGTTCTGGAGATCTTCCCTGCTGGCCCCTACCCCTGCTGCCATTTTGGGGAGGCTGCCTTCATGGGCTCCCCGTGAGCTGGGTTCTACTCCAGGAGTTTTGCAGCTATGTCCCAAATTCAGTGACAGCCTCTAGGCCAGGGCGGTGGCTCAGGGGCAGACCTGACTTGCACCCTGCACAGGTGGCTACATCAGGAACTTTAATGCCCTGGAGTGAAAACAAGGAGGCCCAGTGGGGCTGGAGAGCAGGGCTTGGATACTTGGGCTCTGGGTGCAGATGAGGGGCTGTGAACAGTCCTCCCAGCTTGGAAAGACCGAGCAAACCCATAGGGCCTGCTAAGGTCCAGGACCCCAGTGCCCAAACACCCTGCCTGCCCCGATGTCCCCTGTTGCTTTCTGCCTGCCAGACACCAATTCAAGTGGATTCTATAGCCAGCTCCAGAACAGGTTGTGAATGATCAAGGGGCTGCTTTTGGCTGCCTTCCCAGAAGGCACAGGATGTGTGTGGACAGACTGGAGACTGGGCCATCCCACGGAGCTGGGAACCATAGCGCAGACAAGGGTATAAAGGGGTGGGTGGCCAAGGCACCCACCAGAGAAGATGGCGCTGTTCCTGCTGGGCCTGGTGCTGACCATCGCCTCGGCCCAAGTGTTCAATCCCAAGGAGGTTGTGCGGAAGAACTACAACATGGCCAGGGTGAGGCCAGGCTGGGACTTCCGGGACTGAGTCATGCTTTGAAATCCCTGTCCTCCCTTGACCTGGGGTCTCTGACCTGTGAGAGGGGTAACTGAGCTACTGGGAGCCCCTCCCCCAGCTGTGACAGCAGCAAGGGCAGAGGCCCTGGGAGGGCTGAGGTCCTGGGGAGCAGATGGTAGTGGAAAGACAAAGATCTTGGGAAGGCAGGAGGAGTCCCTGTTGGGAGTTGATGCTCAATGACTGGCTCCAGGATGAGGCCCTGAGTGCCAATCAGTGCCAGGGCGTTCGGGGCTCCCCACCATCCGGCCTTTCTCTCCAGGTTTCAGGGGTCTGGTTTTCTATTTCCATGGCCTCAGACAATCTGACGAGAATTGAGGAAAACGGGGACCTGAGGGTCTTCGTTCGCAGCATCGAACACTTGAAAAACAGCAGCCTGAAGTTCAACTTCCACTTCATGTGAGGGCGGGGGGGTTCCCACGCCCCTCCCCCCCTCACACACATGCACCTGCTTGCTCTCACAAGCACCCAGCCTGGTGCATGTGAAGAGCCTCTGGCTCATCCCTTGGGGTCATGATGATGGGGCTGCAGGGAGGGGGAGGTGCCCTGGGGACGAGAGAGGGGCCCCTGAGAAGTGAGCTGACCTGCCTCCTCCCGAGCTGGGAGGACCAGGGAGGCAAGGATGGTGGGGCTGACTGGTGAATACAGAGGGTCCTGGGAAGAAGCCTGTGCCTTGGAGCAGGGATACTTCTTGCCATGGACCCCTTGGGAGCTGGCACTCCGCTCTGAGCATCACCCTAGGCTGGCTTCCAGGGTACAGGGGGAATGCGTGGATGTGATCATGGTCTGTGAGAAGAGGAAGGATGGGGAGTACTCTGTTACCTGTAAGTGGGAGCTGATTGTTCCTGTCTGACAGCTAGGAATCCTTCTATCAAAGCCTTGTCCACGTTTTGGTGAATGTTGATTTAGGGGATTTTTCGGGACCCCCTGATGCCTGACCCCAACGCAAGAGGACCTGGCCTGGGAGCAAACTGGGGTCTCCCAGCACAGACCCCTCACAGGATGTCTCTGGCTCAGGCCCATGGTGGTGGAAGGGCGGGGGGCTCGGTGAAGCATCCGGCAGAAGACCCTCAGGGCTGCAAGTGGACAGACAGGGGACCTTGATGCCCTACTGCCAATAACGACACACAGGGGTCTCCACCCAAGCCCTCCTCTGACGGTCACCTGACTGTGGCCACCCAGATCCCATCCTAGAAGCAGGCAGGGGTGGGGGGAGCGCGGGGCTGAGTCACATCTCCATGCAGATGAGGGAGAGAACAAGGTGCTGGTCTCGGAGACCGACTACAGGCTCTACATCACCTTCTACATGCAGAACATCAGGAACAACACTCAGACCAGAGTGCTGGCGCTCTACGGTACCCGACCCCTGTCTGCTGAGGACCAGGACAGGCCCAAGCCCGGGTGGAGATCCCCCATGGCCCCAGGTCTGGGGAGGTGGTCCCAGACACATCATGGGATGGGCCTTTAGGACACTCCACCTTGCCTGGCATAATCCCTGTCTCATGTAGGCACATAGTCCTCCCCTAGTCTCCCTGGGCCTCGCCACAAAGTCCCCAACCTGTCCTCAGGGCGGATCCCACAGCTCACTTCTCCCTTCCTGGAACGATTTAGAAAAATCTGCAAAAGATATGGAATGAGTCCAGAAAACATCATCTATCTGGCTGACCAAGGTAGGGCTTCGTGATTTGGGCCCAGAGAGGGACTAGAGAAGTGTTCCAAAACACCTATCTGGCTCTGAGACCCCAAGGGTCAGCTCATGGAGCGCATCTGAGAGCCCCTTGTCTATCTAGATCCCTGCTACACCTAAACCTAGAGGAGCCACCCAGGCCTTCCGGTGTGTGAGTATCCCCTGGGGCACAGGGAAGGGCAGTACAGAGGGAGCTGGGTGGCATGGCATGGGACCCTGTCCTGAACCGTGTGAGTGCCACTTCTGAGAACCCACCCCCGTCCTTCGCTGGGGGTTCCTGTTGAAGTAATAGAACAAGGCGGTCTTTGAAGTCATGCAAGGCATCCCTGAGCTGGGATTTTAATGGGGTCTTACAGGGTGGGTCTGAGCAGCACACGGAACCTGCCCCATAGGAGCATCCTGGGCACAGAAAGGGTTTACTGTCTTGCAGCCCAGAAACCTGAGACCTGGGCATCACAGGGCCATGGCTTCCCATCACCTACCCTGAGGGTTCCCTGGAAGGCCTTCTGGGCCCCTCCATCTCTGTCTTCACCTGGCCTTCTCTGTGTCCTTCTCTTCTGTCTCTTGTGATGTCACTTGTCATTCAATTGAGACCCACCCAGGAATCCCAGCTGACCTTCTCAGCTCCCGGTCCTTAACTTGACTGCGTCTGCAGACTCTTTTCCAAATAAAGTCCTGGGCATGAGGACGGGGTCTGTCTTTTAGGGGTCGCCACTCAGCATCCCCCAGATCCCTTCTTGGAAGCGGGCCTCAGCTCTGGTAAAGACCACCCTCGAGTCCCCCCTCTCTTCACAGAGACTGGCTCCCCATTCAGCTCGTCTGGGAAGCAGGATCCCAAGGGCACCTCGGCATGTGGGTACATGAGGTTTTAAGGAGGCCAGGGGCCTATAGGGCCTGACAGTCCCAGGATGAGCAGCAGGGAGGGGCCAAGCCTCCACCCAACCCCTTTTCCAGGCTCAGACTCCTTCTTGGGGGATGATTGACAGCACCACAGTCTCCAAGTTTTGGTGGAGGGAGCAGCCAAGCTATGGTTATTAAAAGTGGTTTTCTCTGGGCATTTATCAGACATATGAAAACCAGGCCAACTCAAAATGCAGCTCTATTCATGGCCTCCAAAACCTGGGCACAGGCAAAGTCCTCCAACAGGTGGGTGGCTAAGCAAACCATCCATCCATGCCAGGCCCACAAGTTAGGAACTGCATGGGTGGATTCCAGGCAATTGCCTAGGGTGGAAAAGCCAGCCCAAAAGGGTCTGAATGGCACAGCTCTGTGTTCACAAAATCCTGAAAATGGCAAAACTAGAGGAAAGGGGGATGATTGGAGACTTGGGGGTCAGGAAAGGGAAGTGGGTGTGACCAGAGGAAGCAGGGGATGGTGCTGCAGTGCTGGAATGTTCTGTGTCTGGACACACCACCCTGCACATGTAGCAAAGTGTACAGAACACTCACACACACCCGCTCACACGCACACGCACCCAGTCCAGGTGAAACCAGGAACAGCATCACGGCAGGGCCATGTCAATTGTGTCTTGTGGGACGCTGTGCTGAGTTAAGTGGGCTGGGGGAGCCTGGGCCTCTCTGCATTCTTTCTCACACTGCTTGTGATGGATCCCAATTATCTCCAAATAAAAGGTTAGAGTGAAAAAGCATTTGTTCTCATATTCAGCCAAGGAGTTGGTGCTGACCAGTGCATCCCCTGCCAGTCTCCCCTTGCTCTGCACTGCCAGGCCCAGGAGCCACCATCAGCCACTTCTGTTTTACCAGGAACCCAGGTCCCATGGGTCAGGGGTTGCACATCCTGCTGTGTGCTGGGTGGCTGAAGGTGGGGCAGCCGGGAGGATGAGAAGAGACTCCCAGTCCATGGAAGTCTGAGGAACAGCTGGATACCCCAGAGTCTCTGTAATGAGGGTCTGGGCTGCACCACCTGGCTGGAGTCAATCCAGACCAGCCCTCAGTGGTGGACGCAGGGGTCACCTTGCACCATGAGTCTCCAGCACCAGTGACTAGCAAGCTGCTTCAGGTTGGCTCCAGAGGCTGCCCCATCCCTTGGGCACTCTACCATGGGGGCAAAGACCTAGCAGAGGTTAGTACCCATTCCAAGGAACCGGTCACCTGCAGAGGGGTTCTGTTGAGACACCCAGCAATCCCATGGGCTGCCAGCCCCCTGTTCTGACCCTTGGTCCAACCTGCTGAGCCATGGCAGAGGACACCCAGGAAGATGGCCATGCAGCTGGTTCAGAGAGGTGGTATTGGGGAATAGAGTGGTGGCTGCCCAGAGGAATGGTGAGAGGTGGCTGACCAGCAAACAGCCCCATCCCAGAAGATGACAGGAAGGAGCTGATACCAGGATGTGGGGCAGGTCCTGGCCTGTGGGCTCTGCAACCCAACCCCATGGCCTCCCTGTGGAAAGGGCTCAGAGCAAAAGGACACTAGGGGGAGTAATGAAAGCCACCAGAGTGCATCACCACTGGTGTGGTGCCATTCACTTAGAGGCTCAGCAAGTGACTCAGACAAGAAAAGAGGGGGTTCAGCAATACCAAGTCAGAGTACTTGTCCAGAGAAAGTCCCAGAAAAACCCCCTCACCCCAGAGCACCAGCAAGAGCCACTCATGTCGGGAAGGACCTGCTGCCTGTGCCCTGCAGGATTCAGCCCCAGCTGAGAGGGCTGCACATTGGGTGTGGTAGTGGGCTGAAGAAACTGCTAGTGTTTGTCAAAGACTTGTGGGGACCAAGGTGGAGGCCAAGTGAGCTTCTCAGGGAGCCTGACTGTCCAGGGGAGGGGGGTCTTCATCACACACACCTCCGTATTCAGAGCCTGTCCAGGCGTGCCTGCCAGGACACCCCTAAAGTAAGAACAGGACAGAATTTCTCCCCAAGGAGGCATGGCCCAGGCACTGGAGGACAAGGTCACAGCTGACCAGATCCCTTGCTGACTGAGGCTTGGAGGGGCTTTGGACCTCGAGGAGTCCCCATCAGTGGATGCATCTGAGCGTGGATCCGTCCCAGTCCCTCACCTGCTGCAGAAGATGTGAGCAAAAAATATCAACCTGCCCTTGCCCTGGGCCCACGGATCAACACCAGGCACTTGAGAGCAGAGAACCGGCCCCCAGGCTGCTCCCGGCTTCCTCCACGTGCCTGGCGAGTGAGCACATCGCCAGGAGAGACCACCATCTGCTTCCTCCAGTCCTCAAGGGTCTGTGACCCAGAAAATAAGCTTCTGCACATTTCAAAGGTTTGCTAAACCTTTAAAAAATCTCAGTGGTGGGTTTCTTGCTTTTTTTTTTTTGTAGAAATATAAAATCCCATCCTAAAGTTTGTATGGAATCTCAAAAGACCCTGAGGGATCAAAATCTTGTAAAAGAACAAATTGAGAGGACTCGGACTTCCTGACTTCAAAACATATCACAAAGTTACCATACGTACCCAAAACAGTATGGCACTGGTGTGAGACAGACACGAAGACTCTGGAATAGGACAGGGAGCCCGGAAAGGCCCCAACAAAGGTGCTAAAGCCACTTGTGGGAAAGGATATCCCTCCATGGATGGTCCCTTCAATCCTCGCATGCAAAGGGAAGAGGTGGGACCTTTATTTACACCATATCCCAAAACTTGACGTGGATCAGAGATAGAAACGCAAACACTAAAACTATCAAAGCCTTAGGGAAAAAAACCAGGAAAAGCTTTGAGATGTTGGGATTGACAATGATTTCTTGGGTATGACATCAAAAGTGCAGGCAATGTTTTTAAGAAGCTGAACTGGATGGACTTCACCAAAATTAAAAGACATGCGTGAGAGGACTTGAACCCGAGGGCAAAAAGATGACTCAATGACTGGGAGGGAACATGTACCGTTTGTGTCTGATATATTCAGAACATATAAAGAACTCCTACAACTCAACTGAACACCCAGCACCCTCAAAAACGGGCAAAGGACTTGAACAGACATTTCTGCAAAGAACCAGTGACCTATGAGCCCCAGATGCTGCCAGTCACTGTTACGGAATGCAAATGAAATTTGACTTCACAGCCATTCTGATGGCTATTTCCTTAAAAACTAATTCAATTAAAACATTTAAAACCAAAACCAGCACGTGTGGGTGAGGACATGCTGCTGATGGGAAGAAAAAGTGACACGGCTGCTGTGGAAACGGCACAGCGGCAGCTCAAAACTTAGACACGGGATCACTGGTGCACCACCCTGCATCTGTGCATATAGATGCCCCAAAATCAAAGCACTTTGTAAACCCATGTTCTCGTGCTGGCAGCAGCATGGGTCACAAGAGCCAAAAGTGAAAGCACCCGAAAGTCCACAGACGGATAAACATGGATAAACAGAATACCCAGCGCTCTCTCACACACATACAGTGGAATATTAGCCAGCCTTGAAAAGGAGGAAAATTCTGACAAACACTACCCCATGGATGAGGGCATCACAGTAAGGGAAATACATCAGCCACTAAATGACAAATCCAGAAAGACAGGACTCTTCACTCTTGATTCTAGACACAAGGCTGAGAAGCAATGGAGGGACAGAACTCTTACCAGCAGCCGTGAAGTAAACACAGGTTACTCCAGAGGCACCTGCACACCCATGTTTATTGCGGCACTATTCACAATAGTCAAGTTATGGAAACAGCCAAGATGCCCCACCACTGACGAATGGATTAAGAAAATGTGGTATTTATGCAGCCATGAAGAAGAATGAAATCTTATCGTTTGCAGGTAAATGGATGGAACTAGAGAACATCATTGTGAGTGAGGTTAGCCAAGCTCAGAAGACCAAAAACCATATGTTCTCCCTCATATGCAGACTTTAGATCTAGGGCAAATGCAGCAATGTGGTTGGACTTGGATCACATGATAAGGGGAGAGCACATTTCGGTGATATAGAAATAGGCAGAAAACCCAAAACATGAAAGCATTTGATGTCCCCACTCCAGAGGAGCTACTACAGAAACCTTAAAGCAACAGAGGTTATCATGAGAAGGGGATCAGGAACCAGGGTAAAGATCAGTTAGAGATGAATCAACATGGATCATAACAGATGTGTACACAAAAGCAATGCTAGGAATATTTCTGTATAGCTAGCCTCAACTCAACGAGCAAAAACGCTTCATCTTCCTTATTAGGCTTGTCTCTTTTCTTCAACAAAACTAGTGATAAAGGCAGAACAGGACCTGCCTGGAACTGAGGGAGGAAGGGGAGAGAGGGTCGGGGAGGGGGACAGAGGGGAGAAATGACCCAAATAATGTATGCACATGTGAATAAAAAATAAATAAATAAATATAAATTAAAGAAGAAAAAAAAAAAAAGGGACTCAGAAGCAGGCATGGTGGTGGTGCTCCCCTGTAATCCCAGTTACTCAGGAGGCAGAGGTAGGAAGGGTCAAATTCAAGACCAGACAGGGTCTCTCTCACTTAAAAACCAAAAGGGCTGGGGGTGTGGGTCAAGTGGTAGAGTGCCCTGGGTTTAATCTACAGAAAGAAAAAAATAATAATAAAAGGAAAGGAAAAAGGTAACCAAAGCTGTAACTCCCGAAACTACTCACAATAAGATACAGTACACGTCAGTCCGGCCAGCCTCACAGGTGGGTGAGAAGCTGGCTTTCCTGTGTCTGTCACAGTGCTTCAGGGCTGGAGGTGAGCAAGGTCTGAGGCCACCATCCTGCTAATGAGTGGGAGGAGGAGGAAGAGACAGGGGTGGAGCGTGACCACCTGGGCTCCAAGGGGAGCCTGCAGGGCTCCTGAGGTGACCTCCTGCCTTAGGTATGAGCTGGCCCATTTGACCGCGGGCCACAAGTGTGGGGTCCCTGGCTGAAGAGGTGTGTCTGCCGCCCTGAACAGCTCCTGACCCCAAAATTCCTCTCCTGCCCTCATACCTGTGAGCTCCATCAAGCAACAGGAGGTGAGTGAGGCAAACCCAACATAGGTGGTAAAGTGCTGACCAGGACCCCCCAGATGCTCGCCACATGCCTCCTCTCAGATGGGCAAGCAGCCCTTCCGCCCTCTAGGGCCTGGACCCAAGCCATTAGGAGACCCAGCCCCAGAACTGAACAAGGACAGGGCCAGCTGAGCCCCAGGGATCAAGGGATAGTGGAGCCATATGACGGGGGAGGGTCTGGAGCAGCATGGGGACGAGGGGAAGGACATGGAAAGCTTTAAGAGGTGTCACTCGCCACTGCCTACCTGGCCATCTCAGGTGACCACAGCACCTGCTTCCACATCTGTGTGAAAATGGGAAACTGGAGGAACCAACACCTGGAAGTGCCCTCCCTCAGGCAATCGACTAACAGGAGCCTGGGCTTAAACAACAGGAATGTCTTTTCTCCAGTTCTGGAGGTTGGCAGTCAGAAATGGAGGCGTCTGCAGGCAGGGGTCCCTCTGGAGACCCCCAGGGGGACCCATCCAGCCCTTCGCAGCTCCTGGTGGCTCCCACAGTCCTTGATGGCATCACTCATGACTCCCTGCTCCTCATCACATAGTCTCTCCTTTTATAAGGACACTTGTCATTGGATTTACAGCCACCTAACTCCAGGATGCCCTCATCTTAAGATCTAACTAATGACATCTGCAAAGACCCCACTTCCAAATAAAGTTCCATTCAAGATTGGAGGAAGGTGTGAATTTTGAGGGCCACGTGAACTTTGGGGACCACTGCACCACAGAAAGGCAAAGATGCCCACTGGCCTTCCAAGCAGAGCAGAGACAAAGGGCCAGCTCCTGAATGTGGGGCTCAGGTGCAGCTTCACAGTGCCTGCCTGTAGGAACCTGGCCACCTCTGGGCAGTGAGGACTCTACACAGGGGTCCCCTGGGACTCCTTATAACACAGGGCCTCAGGTCAGACCCAACATGTCTGCTCTGCACACACCCCAGGAGCTGCAGGTGTCCAGGAGCCCAATCTGCCAGATTAGGTGAGAAAGAAGGGGAGCAGGAAGGACATGGCGACCATGGGCCCCAGAGACCTGAGTGACCACCTCAAAGGGATCCCTAGAAACACCATGCATGCCACAGGCCCCTAATCAAGGGCTGTGGAGGGACCTGGAAGGTAGAGCCAAATAAACTTGGGAACAGAGCAGACGGAGGCCCAGGGCAAGGAATGCCCAAGGTTGACACCAGCTGGTGGCCCAAAGGCAGGATGACCAGGCAGCCCAGGGATAGGGCGTGGCACTCAGCTCCACCTGAGGAGTCTAGAGCTGCCAATAGCCAGCCACCAGGACAAAGCCAGCCACCAGAACCCTTGAGGCAGGGCAGCATGCTCCCGTGTACACACCCTCACCCCTCCTCACCGAGGGGCACACCCTGAGTCTCCGAAGACTCGGATATCCACTCCTGTTGGTGCCTCTCAGGTAGAGGCGGGTGTCTGGCCCACAGTCCCCCAGGGCTTCTTGTCCTGAACTTCCTGGGCAGAGGCAAACCTGGGCCCTTCCCCACCCCATCTCCTCTCTCTGGGTGCCATGTACAAATCCAGTGCGAATGCACGGAAAAGGATCCTACTCCCAAGAGGGCAGGTGGAGCACTGGCATCATAGTGCTGGGGCTGCCAGCACCTGGTAGGGGACACGACAACCTGAGCTGCCTGCAGTTCATGGGCTGTAGAAGTGGGGCACACTCATGTCTGCACCCCCTTCCCTGAAGCCCATGTCTGCCAAGACCCTGCAAGATGGGCCTCTGGGACCCCACTCCCCACCACACCGTGACATGACCCAGCTTCCCTGACCTGGGCATGGCACCTCCCCAGGAGAGCCCTGAGCCCCAAGGGCAGAGGGATGACAGCCGCTGGTCTCCTCCAAGGAGTCCCCAGGCACTAATGAGCCTGAACATGCTAGGCTGAGGACACAGAGACCCTGCCCTTCCTGAGTCCTGGAGATCCACAAAAGGAGTCCTGGGATCCAAGAGGCTCTGGAAGAACAGTTGCTGGAGGCAACACATGTAAGACTTGAAGGGTGACCCACTGGTGACACATGGCTCCCGGAAAAGTGTGAATTGCAGCACTGACCCTCTGCTCATCCAATGGCCTGGCCACACCAAGCTGCTTAGGCCCCACCATGGTACAAGGCTGCCCACTGTGCACCCTGAGACTACCTCCATGCCCCTGAGCTCAGGTGCCACTTGGGGGATGACGGTGGCCATGCTGGAAAAAATCCAAGACCAGCTGTCCACTCCCCAGGGTTATAACAGCCAAAGTCCAGCCTCCAGGGCAGGGGCTGCCTTTCCCCTGCCCAGTTATCCCTATAGGGTGGGTGCCAGTGTGTGTGTGGGTTTTGGCGAGAGAAGCAAGGTCCACTCTCACTGGGGCCTAGGCAGGATCTGGGTGAAGATTTGTTGCTGCCCTACTTCCCAGGCCAACTGGATGCCCTAGGTGTGGGAGAGTGGGGAGGGGAGAACAGGCTGGAGCCCAGAACCAGTCTGGAAGGTGGCTGTTCATCTCCTAAACCAGCTGAACTGGTTGGCCTCTTGCAATCTGGGCCAACAAGACCTGTACTTGGTTCAGAAAGGAGGTCCCAGAAGTAGAGGGGGCAGAGGAGAACTACACAGGAACTTACCCCCATAGCTCCTCGGAAGCAGTGGCCTGCACAGCCAAGCCCCATGGCTAGGTAGCCCTTTCTCCTGTGCTCCTGGTGAGAAGTAGATCGCAAGTAAATCTCCAGACCTCCACCCTCCAGTTCACCTGGACTGCCTGCTGTCACTGCCTGTAGGGATGACAGACACTGGCACAGCCAGCCTGTGGTGGGCCCTGGAGACCCTCTGCCCAGCTGCAGAAGGACTGAGAGTAGATCGTCCTCAGTCTCAGGGTTCAGGAAGGGGTTGGAACTCTAGGAGCTGGGGCCCCTGAAATTCCAGGCCCCTCTGATCTCCCACGGCCTGTAACCAGTCACTGCCCTTGTTCACAGCCAGGCTAGGTCTCAGAACCTTTAACACTGGCTCAGCAAAGAGAGCTGCCTGCCTCCTGGAATGGGGTCCAGGAGGACCCCACCGCACAGTGGGAACTCTGGGAGGGCAGGCCAGGGCCCCCCTCACCCAGGGCCTCACAGTTACCACAGGTAATGCTGGATCACAGGTGGACTGTTCGAGGCAGGTTTCACGTCAGCTTACCTGGAACAAAAGGCTTCCTGGAGGTCACCAGGGGCTTTGATGGGCTGTGCATCTGACCACCATGGGAGCATTTGGCTGGGCCAGCCTGCCTATCTGCTCTGAGGGGTGGGTGGCGCACACACAGCTCCAAATTTTTCTCTGAGACCCTTTAGGCTGTCAGAACCACAAACTCCCAACAGCAGGGTAAGAACCTGCCTCAGCCCAAGGCCCAAGTCAATCACAGACTGCGCTCGCTCGGCAGGCCGGGCCCCGGGACCAGCGTCAGGGCAGTAGTACAATGAGTACGATGAGTCGACCTCACCCCCAGGGACGGTGGGAAGAGAGCAATGGGGGTGTGCATATTAACACCAAGAGCCTACAAAGTCTACCCTCCAGACACAGCATGCCTGCAATTAGGATGCACACACACCAGCACATACGTGTGCCCACACACGCACACATGCACAATCCAACACGCGTGGGTGCACACGCCAGCATACCAATATGCAAATGCACACTGACACGCAGTCTTCCAGGAGACGAAATCCAGTTACTGGAGGACTGATGAGCCAGAACGGTACAGACAGACCAGAGAGCCCCTGAGTCCCCGAACTCTGGGAACCTGGTGTGTTTCTGGGGCACTGGCAGCCAGGCCCTGACCCCTGCTCCACCAGAGCCTCCAAGGCTCTTCCCTCCTCTGCTGAAGGGTCTTTGGCCCTGTGAATTCCAGTCAAGTCCTGAGGATGGTAGTAGCCAGCCTCACCCTGGTGTCCATCTGCACCTGGGTCCCCTCCCAAGGGACACTCGTGGACAGTCCAGAGCCTGTGCCTTGTGATGATTTCACTCCTCACAGCTCCCACGTGAAGCGCTCCTTCCCACGCCAGCTGCTCTTAGTCTTTGTCTGCAGTGACTCACGGAGAATGAATGGGACATTCAGCCGGTGTGGGGGTGGGGGTGGCACATATGGGCCCAGGGCTCTGAGCCCACACTCAGGACTCTTCTTCTCAGGGGAGATTGTTCTGCCTCCCGGAACAGACTGACCAGGAGGAGGGGTCACACTGACCTAAGCCTTGCCTCCAGGTGGGGGCAGCAGGGAAAACTCCCACCCCTGCCAGCCCATGAAGGCCCGATGCCCATCTTCGATATGACAAAAAGGTAGGTGGGGACCATCCCTCAGTGATGTCCATCACTCAGTGCCCAGTCTTTCCCCAGATACTGAGGACGAGGGGCCCAGACACTGAAGGGCAGGTGGCCTCTGTCCAGGATCCCCTATAAACCCAAGCAGACTTCAGAGATGCCCGGAAGCAAAGGAGGAATTTGCCCTTCCCCTGGGGCACCCTGGACTGGGAGACGGGACACCAGGGTCCTCCTGAGCACATGCAGTCCAAACACCTGGCCCTATAGCTTTGAGGGACAAAAAGAAGAAAGGAGTGGCTCACAGAGCACGAAGCTTGTGTTCCCGCATGACTTCTCTGGGGTGTGTGGCACAGAACTGGGTTATTTAGGGATTCCACAATGCTAAGAACCTCCCAGAACAAGGTCCTGGGCAGCTGCCTGTGCTCTGAAAGGAGGTGGCGCGATCTGCCCAATGAATCGGATTAATTACACAAAAGCTACAGAAATTCTGCTTCCTCCAGAATTGCTTTTCCTCTTTAATATTCAGCCTCAAATTAGAACACAGCTGCAGCCCAAACCCAAAGTAACACACCACGAGCAGGACAGGAGCACAGGTCGCTCCCCGCCCAGCCAACGGAGGCTAAGAGGCAAAGAAGTCGGAGAAGATGCTGTCCACGTCATCCCTGAGGGCCAGGCCCCAGCTGCTCAGGTCTGACACCCACGGCTCCAGAGAAGTATCTTGGGTCTCTTGGGAGCCAGACTCAGGATCCCCCAGAAAGCTCAGCTCTGCCCTATCCACTGGGCTGTTCCTGGCTGGGGCTGCACCTCCCCTGCCCTCCATGGGCCCTGGAAGCAAAGGACATATCAGCGCAGCAGGCAGGTGCCCTGGACGGTGATCAGCAGCAGGGTCAGAGTACACAGGGGTCATGAAGGTTGGGGGGACTCCCGCTGCTGTTTCTGCCTGCCCCATCCTTCTGGTACAGAGCCCTGTGAGGAGAAGAGAGCCCAACCCTGTGGCTTTGCCCCCAGGCTTGGGGGATCCCCATCAGGCCAGAACCATGACAGCATTCCTCCAACACCGAATGCTACAGAAGGAGATCGACACACCCCATGTGACGTGTCTAGACGCCTTTGTGAGCCAGTGCAGCTGGCACAGGGACCTAGATGATAGAGGGACACTGGGTGTACAGAAAAGGCACTGGACTCTATGTAGTGAATGGCATGTCACATACACTCACATTACTTCTGACTCTCCCTGTCGGTCATCTGATGACCACCACCAGAAGAGGTGGAGGCCCAGAGACATTGTGCCATATAGTCATCTCCCCAGGTCCACATCAGAGGAATGGAGGCCCCAAAGTCTGGGCTGGTGTGGATGAAAGTAGCCTGGATTCACAGTCCCCACTCACCCAGCCACCAGTCAGGACTGGCAGTCAGCAGGAAAGATGTTCCATCCTCTACGTTGGACCCTGACACAGACCTGGAAGTAAGGAGACTCCTGAGTGGCACACAGGTGGACCCAGGCCCTCAAAGCTCATGGGAAACACCCAGGCCCCCCGACCTGAAAAGACTACCTTGGATTTGAAGGCACGGGAGGAAGTATAGAGGCCACCTTGTCACTATAGGCCAGGCTTAGCCACAGAACCCAAGTCCTGTCCTGCTGAGCATCTGTTGGTTTCTCTCCAGCCACAGCCTCACTCACTTGCTCCCTGCGCCTCCCACGCCCCAGCTGGTGTGTGCTCCCCAAACACAAACTCATTTTATCATCAGCCAAAACAAGAGACAATTAGGAGACAAAAGTGTTTTCAGAAACACATTAGAAAGCCACATGGCGAGCTGGCTTGGGCTCGCTGCCTGGGCCTTCCTCCCCAATGCAGAGAGACAGAGGCACAGATGCTTCCAGATGCAAAGAAGGGAAGGGTCTGGAGCAGCGTGGAAGGCAAGCATGTGCCAGTTCACACAGGGGATCACATGAATGCACACTCCGTCAAGGTACCTACCTTGCATCCAGCACAGGCATCAGACCTGTGTTGGCCTCTTCAATCATCCCACCTGGAGACTCAGTGCCCCTTGTCAGAGACCCCACCTGGCACAGCCTTCCAGGGACCTCTTCCCTCAGCTTAGGGGAGGCTGACTGTAGTGGGTGAGGTGGCCAGGGTGGAGGCCGGGACACCAGGTTGGAAGGCTCTGAAAGGAGGAGGCAGAGATGGGGTCAGTTCTCTTTACCCGGCCTGCAGACTGCCCATAGCCTCATAATTCTGACCACAGGGTAGCCCTGCCACATCTGCCCTGCAGCACAGACATGTAGGGGAAGCCCAGAACAGGCATCCAACAGGTAACCTAGGCAGATGACCACCCACAGACAGGTGCCCAACACCTGAGTCAGGGAGACTTCTAGGAGAGGTGCCCACTCTGCCTTGGGTCAGATGTGGGGATCCCCTTGGCACTGCTCCATCACCTTGGGCTCCATCCTCAGACCTGCTTCCTGACCGTGACCTCATCTCTGCCCCAGCCCTGCCAGCAACTACACCCCTCCCGAGGTTGGCCCTGGCAGTCAGCTCCCATGGGTTTTTCACAAACAGAAAACAATATAAAACTTTGAGCCTCCATTCAGGAACAGACCCCACTGTTTTCAGAGTTAGAGGTTGCCTAACTCCCCCCGGACATGGTCACTGCACTCTGGGTGCTCACTCAAGCATACCAAGGAGGGAAGGCGGCCTGTTCCTCTCATCCACATGGAGCACTGCACAGTGCACAGGGTCCTGCCGCCTGGACAAGGGGAAGACACGAGGCAGAGCTCTGAGCCACGCAGCGGCAACAAAACCAAGTACCGCCTTCCCTCCAGCACCTCAAAGGCTTTGGACTCAAGTGTGAAGCCCTCAAGGGTCAGCTTGGCGACCATCTGAGTGAGCAGGAATGGTAACACCACTGGTGTGTAACAAGCCCTCAGCAAGCTGTGAGTTGTGGAGACAAAGCCAGGCCACCAGATTCCCCTCCCTGGGATGGGCTAGGGGCTTGGTGTGTGCTGCCCCTGGGGTCCCACGGCCTTGCAGGATGGGCCGTGGCAGACACTAACAGATTCACACCCGACACTGCTGTCCCCAGGTCTTGTCTGCCAGCTGGACTCCGACTCGCCAGGGTCAACTGCAGAACATCCTCCTGCCACGCATGCCAGGTCTTCCCAGAGGAAGTGGGAACCTGAAATTTGAACAAACACATTAGCTGGATGACCAACTGCCTTACCAGGTACCTGGGGAACCAGAGGTTCATCTGAGCCTGGTCTATGCTCTGCTCAGGATGACGGGGCAAGGGGGCAACCGAGGCCAAAGACTCACTCCTCATCCAGGGGCCTTGCCACCGACATTCAGCTCGGACCCTTACAGACAGAAGGACAGTTCCACTCACCAAGCGCAGGCCCATGAGACACCCCTCACAGGCTGTGCCTTCTTGGGAGACCAAGATACAGGGAAAGACCTAGTGGTACTCAGCTAAGGCAGCGCAAGGGGGGTCGACTCTCCCCATAGATTGCATGGAGCATCAGGGTGGCTGATTAGTCATTAGGATTGTGGGGATGTGACAGCCATCAGGGCAAGCTGTCTCCTCCCAGAGGAGGAGGAGTGGCGAACAATAAGTGCATTTTGAACACATCAAGGAGCACCCTGCAGAAGGAACGCACAGCCAGCTTGGGCTCAGGAGGACAGGGGCCCAAGGAGGCAGCAGGCGAAGCTGGGAGGGGACCCCAGCCGCCCCCAAGCAAGGATGCCAGATAACACCGACCAGGTCCACCTATTGACAACTCACACTGTGCTGCTCCCAGCCGGGCACCGTGGTGTGGACAAGCTGGAGGAACTCAACAGCCATCTCCAGGATTGAGACCATGTCTTCCCGCCGGCCGTCAAACTGTGGCAGCAGGGCCCGCAGGCGCTCACAGCTTACAGAGATTCGCTTCCTGCTTCCCGACAAGTGACAAACATCCATGACCCCATCTGGCCTTTTGCCAGAGGCACAGCAGCTGCTGGAGCCCCCACCACCAATAAACTCCAGGGCTCCTGGGGCAAAGCTGCTGGTTTCCAGCAGTCTGAGTCCTTGGATTCTGCATCGTCAACTCTGACCCCTGTCACAGGCTTGTCCACGTGCCCACCCAGCCTCACATCCCAAACATCACTACTTTGGGGTGTGGTAGGAGGGTCTATAGGATCCCAGATACACAGCTTTTAGCTCGAGGGAGCTGCAGAGGTGGCCCCTGAATGACCTCCTGAGTGGGTCTGGGGACTCGCTGTTAGTCCCGTCCTTGCTGCGTAAAACCTAGACAAACCACAAATCTGAGCATTGTCACCAGAGAGAACTAGAAGTACCTGCGCTCCCTCTCGCTGAGCACATTCCTTGGCAGGCAGGAGCCGGTTCCCTTCACCAAAGTAAGGGTCTTCTCTGGTTCAGACACCCGGGAGGGGTCCTTGAATCTGGCCAGGGCCTCAAACATTGAAGAACCGCTACAGAGAACAGAGCCAAGAGCGCCAGGCTCTGTGAACCTCAGAAAAGCACCAGGAGCCCCAAATTAATTGAGCACCTTTGGTGGGATGCTGGGGAAAGTGGAAGATAAAAGCCTGGGTCACCAGGACCAGGACCCCTCCACCCCTCCCACCAGCTCGACCCCCCCCTCCTTCTCCTCCCCCGGGATATGGAGGGGACTCTGAACCAGAGTGAAGATGGTAGTCTGGGAAAAGGACCTTAGGCCTGATACCCTCAGAGCCCCCACCCAATTTCCTACCTGCAACCCTCTAAGCTGGGGACTTGAGGTTCCTCCGCGGCAGGCTTGAGGCCCAGGGACGCCATGGACGCAAAGTAGAAGTGGGGAGAGCAAACTAGACCCCACGCAGCCAGCCCCAGCTCACCAACCTCACACTCGCACGTGCTCTCCAGCCAGCCCACACCTGGCTCCCCACCCCCACTAGGCCACTTGCCCTGCAGGCTCCGCCCCCACCACGTGTTTGACGCCCTCCCTGCGCGTGCCCTTTCTCCCAACCCCCCTCCCTCGCAGTGACCACCTGAAGCCAAATTCCTCTCCCAGAGAAGTTGCCATTAAGTGGCCAGGTGGTCCACCCACCCTGGATTCCCCAGCAGGACACCCAGAGGCTGGGTGGCCCTGCCTCCACTCACCCTTCCTGGGGGTCAGCTCAGCTCCCACTCCAAATAGGCTCTGCTGCTCACTGCCCTTAGGGGGCCCCCAGGGTAATTTGGAGCTGTGGGCTCTGCCCTCCAGGAGCCCACAGCCTAGCTGGGAGCAGAAATAGTTGAGAATTTTCTAGTGGATACCTATGCCCTGGGAGGGCTAGAGGGCACCCATCTGTCCTTCCTGTCCCCAGGCCCACCCTCCCCAGATCATTCCCTCTGGCGGGTGCTCCACCCCAGGGCCAGGCATCTTTTGCCCTGCCACCCTGTGTCTGGCTCACCTAGTCAGCACCCAGCAGAGTCCCAGTCTACGGGCCTCCTTCATCTTCTGGCCCCGCCCGGGCCATGTGCCCTCTGCCTGCATTCAGGTTTAGTCCCAGCTGCACAGCCTGGACCCCCTAGCCAGCCTCTCTGTTGTAGTGTGGGTCCTCACTTGTGCGCCCTCCCTGCTGCATCTCAGTTCCCTCCTTGGTAGTAAATGGCAGTTGGATGAATGCAGAAGGGGAAAGCAGAGACCCTTCTTTCAAGGAGAGGGCCCTGAGGGGAGCATGGCAGTAAAGGGGAGTTGCTAGGGTTGTTGGCATTCCAGCTAGGCCCATGTCCCTGGGCTTGTGCTGGGGACAGTTGCTGGAGGTCACAGAAGTGGGGGACACAGCTCCTGAGAGGTGGCCAGAACTAGGTAGGGCCGGTGCTACAGTAGAGGGGAGTCTGCCCTGGGTGCCAGAGGTCCTGCCTCTGACTCCAGAGGGCCTCGGTCTGGGGTCCTGGAGAGACTATGGGTGCTCTTTGTGTGTGTGCTGGGTGTGGCAGGGGATCCCTTTCTCCATTCCTGTTCTGCTCAGGTTCCAGGGGAGGCAGGTAGTCAGCTCAGCCAGGGTATAGGATAATAAGGAAGGTTGGGAAGGTGGGTGATGGCAGGGATTTGGGCACGTGACCTCAGGCCACCTAGGCAAGGAGGCAAAAGCCTGAGGAGCCACAGCCTGGCTGGCTCCCTGGGAAGGGATCTGGCAGGGGACAGAGAGTGGGGAGGGGGCCTGAGGCTGGTTCTGGAAGCCAGAGGGCTAGTTCCTATTTCTACTGGAGGCTCGGGGCCAATCCCCCACCAGACCCAAGGGACAGCTTCAGGGTGCATGTCGAGGCTCACATAGCCCTGTGACTGTGGCTTCTGTGAGTGAGCGAGTGTGTGTGTGTGAGAGGGAAGGTGGGAAAGGGGGGAAGAGAGTTAGAAAAAAAGAAAGAAAGAGAATGTGAAAAGGAGCCAGGAACACTTGGGACCTTTAGATGTGGCATTCATGTGGGAGGTGAGGACAGGGCAGTCCTGCCCCTGGAGGGTCTCAGTGCTCAAGAGAAAGTTATGCTGGGGAAGATTCAGTAGAGCAGCCTGGGGGTGGGGGCATCAGGATCACAGTGGTCAGGAGATGCTGCAGCAACCCTGTCTAGGGGGCTGCTCTTTGGAGGAGGTGGACTAGAAAACAGGACCATGGGTCCTCCCTCCCTGCTCCTGGCTGGGAGAGGGATGGATGGGCAGATGCTCTGGAACCTGGCTCTTCCATGGTAGAGTGAGACCAAGTTTTGGTCTCCTTCAAGCCCTCCCTCAGAAATGTCACTGAGGTTGTCTAGTTTCTCCCACGGCTGACACCTGACAATTATGTCTGATCAGCCAGCAGTGCTACCTCCCTCCAGGGCTCCTGTCAAATGGTGATAGACCCAGGCAGGGTGTCCCCTACATGGCCATCTCTGAGTTCCCACGTGAGAGGGGCCTGACAAAGGAACAATTGGCTACCAGGCAGGTGAGGGTCCTGGCAGAAAGACCAAATCCTTCTGGGGGCAGTGCCTGAACAGGGAAGGTGAAAACCAACAGCAGCATCTGGTGACAGAGACATGGGCCACCTGGATCCCTTCTGGATGAACAGAACACTCCTACCTGCCTCAAAACCATTTATGTTCAGCTTGCTGTGTCCTGAAGGCAGATGGGGAAGGGACCATCACACCCAGAGCTGAAGCCTGGGCCCAGCTCTGCCCTGGGGAGCCCCTCATACTGACCACAGCCCCCAGGGGGAGGCTAGTGCCCCAGGCCTGGGAATTGAGGTTGGCTTAGGGTTCACCCCAGTCTGATTTCTAGGCTTCTCCATCTCTGTGTATCTGTTCCTCTCCTCCTCTGAACAGCACTGGACAACAAAGGGTCCAGTGATCCAAGAGACCAGACTCTAGTTTTCATACCTGAATCAAGACGTCGTGTGCACCACACGCGTCCCTGATGTCTTCCTGGGTCCTTGGGGTATAGCACCTGAGGGTGGTACACCCCCCCCCCACTAGCTGTTTAAATGGTCTGTGTCCATGTGGCTGAGAGTGGGGGGTGAGAGCCAGTTCCACAGGGGACCAGCTGCAGTCACTCTGCTGCCTGTGGACTAGACAGCTCCCCATCCTGGTGAGTTCCTGGCAGTGTGGTGCCCTAGGACAGCCGCCCAGGGGCTCTGGGTGCAGGCTTCTGTGTAAGCGACCAGTGCCCAGCACGCATAGCAGTGGTCAGGGGACGTGCTGATCCAACACTACGCAGGAGCAGGGAGCTGGTGGGACCCCCGCAGCAAAACGGGTGCATTTATGGTGCTTCCTCACTTTAAACCTGAAAGGCCCCAGATCCCTTGTGTCCCACGGAGGCTCCTGTGGGATAGAGCCCCCTCCCACTAGGAAGCCCCCAGGGGCGCGCAGCCGGGTGGCGTGTGTGGGGTTTCTAGCCATTAACAAGCCCTCTCCTGCTTTTCGGATGTGGACCGACCCTCGACCCCAGCTGGGTCCCAGTCCTGGCGACGCCATCGCGGTGCCGGCTCAGCCTGCAGGGGGCGCGCGCGGACAGGCGCCCGCACCACGACCCTGGAACCGGCTGTTTATCCCCCAATCCAAGAGAAAAAAAAAAAAAAAAAATCTCGTTTCGGGAGCAAACCGAGAACAGAGGCGGCAACGGCTCCCGACTCGTTTCTGCCTCGACGCGGATCCGAGCCTCCCGGCCCTCATGCCACTCCCGGACGGGGCGCGCAGCCCTGGGGGCGCCTGTCCACCTTGGGGGCGCGTAGCCCCAGGCCGCTCCAACCCGACCTTGGAGAGGGAAGTGGGCGGACGCGCCCCCAGGTGCGGCCTGTTGCGTCTCCTGCTCAGGGAGACCGGGGCTGGACTAGCACCACCCCGTGAGGACACCCCCCGCCCCCACACCAGGACACCCACCACCACTCCGCACCCTGCAGGACCCCCAGCCCCGGGGGCCGCTCATCCTCGGGACTCGCGAGCGCCCTCCCCGGCCGCCATGGGGAACGGCGCCGCAGGTCCCAGGCTGGAGCGCGCGGCTACGTCCAGGTGCGGGATCCGAGCTCCTCCAGCCGGGCGGGGCTCCTTGCCCCGCGTGCAGGCGCCTCCCACTCCCTGATGCCCAGCCTTCGGCGGGACCCGTGTCTGCTCCCACATGACAGTGGCAGCGCTGGGACAAAGGCACCCCTCCCCAGAGGAGCCCCAGATTTGGAAGAGGGTGTGTGTGCGCTGTCAGAAGACGACGGTCCTGGGTTGGAATCCAGGAGATTTTCTGCTGGTCACTTCTTTTGGGGTAACTGATTGCCATCCCTGTGAGACAGAGTCAACTGAGAAGGGCTTTCAGGTGACCTGGACACCAGCCTTCCCTGTGCAGTGTCTATGATACCATACCACTCCTGCCCACCCAAGTAACCAGTATCGGCCCAGGGCAGCAGCTCTGATGGAGGGGCTAGGACCAGTGCTACCACCTTGTCCGCTCTGCCCTCTTTCTTACCCTGTCTGCCTGGAGGACAGGTATGAGTGTCCCTTACTCTGGTATGAGTGTGCCAAGAGGCCAGACTCCAGGGACCCTAGATGGAGTCACCTCATGCCTACTGGGCAACCACCTTTCCTGGGTGCAGCTGGTCTCTGGCTGTTCTAAGACCATCTTTGGTCTCAGAGGGGTGACAGAGCATGCCTGAGGCAGGAGACACCACTGTGACATTTTCTTATGGGACTCAGTCTCCCATATGTAAAATGAGGGCTAGACCATCTAGGTGGTCTTTAAGGACCTTTTCTAGTGGGGGACCAGGCTCAAGAGGGCAGGTTTCCACTTGGTGCCTTGAGGGGCACACTGCGGGGAAGGGTGCCAGAGGACAGACCGGGGTGAGGAGCAGCATCACTGAGAAGTAGGCACAGCCTGAATGTTCCATGACTGCTCTGGGGTCTACCAGGTGATGACTGTCAGGCACAGAGTAAGTGACTCAAGGAGGGCTCTCCACTTTCCGTCATCTTCCCGGTCTGGGTGTCCTCTGCCATCTCCTCTGTGGTCTGGTGTCACCCTCCCTGGCCATTCAGCTCCAAGTCCCTTAGCTGCCCACTTGACCTCCTGCTCCAGTCCAGGCAGGAGCATTATGTATGAAGGCTTCAGCCCCGGGCCTGTTGGCATCTTCCTTCTGGCACTGTTCACCCACCTAGGATGGCCCTTCTTCCCCCTCTGGTCTGAGCTGGCCTCTGATCCTGCAGAGGTTCACTGTCACACTGCAGGTAGAGCTGCTGTCAGACAGACTGGGCAAGGACCACCAGGAAAGGACAGGCGGGGATGGGGAGGCTGGGGAGGTTGGGGAGGTGGAGGCTGGCCACCCACAGTGACCTCAGTGTGGAAA